AACACAAATATCTTTGTCTTCTTCGCGTTCACCAGCTGTAAACTCTGGAGGAAGGTTCTGGTTGCTTGTCCACTACTGAACTGCAGTTCTGCTCCAGAACCTGAGTGTTGCGTGTGCATCAGTTTTACAGATCTCATTCTCTTGAATACAGACTGTTGGTTCCTTGCCTCTCAGGCAGATGCACTCCGACTTCAAAGGAAGCTCCCCAATTAGTCGACTCTTACGACATGCTTTTGGGGAGGCAGTGGGTCTATTCTTGTTTTCCCCACAATGGGACCCCGGAACCCACACGGGGGAGCACAGATATAAATAAAGGCCAAAACACACATGGAGAAGGGAGCTAACAAGTGTAGTTAAAAAGATGGGAAGAGCTGCATGCAATAGCGAAGAGTAGCACAGTTTGGTGTAGGTTGGTTGAGGACCTATGCTCCGTTGGGGTTAGAAAGGCAGATGAAAACATGCAAAACTCAGGCCCTGACACCAAGCCCCACAGTCCAAATAAACGAACATTCAGGACTTAAAGCCAGAGTTTATAGCCGGTGAACAAAGAAGAAGAAACCATTGATTACTTTAAGTGACAACTGCTTAGGAAGAGTTCAGAGCTGCCGGAGTTAGAAGAAGGGATACAATCAACAACAACAAAAAAATCAGAAGACTAGAAGTGAAATCAGCCATTCAATTCACTAAAGAGCAACTGACGAATTAGTTTAGCCATATGAGAATGTGTTGGCATGTGTGGCCTAGGCATTGTGGGTGCGCTTCGTAATGCTGGGTTCACCCACGGGTGCAGACGATTTTTCTTGCACTGGTTTCAACAGTGGTATAGAGAGGTTACCGCCAAAAGCAATGGCAAACTACTGAACATAAAATTTGCCTATAAAAACCACACCAGCTAAAGAATGCTGAGGTTGGTTCTGCAAATTAAAGGATATGCAACTGACTTAATCTGAGAATGCACTTGTATCACGTGCCTGCATTGAGCCTGCCTTTCCTCTACTTCTAGAGCAGTGGTTTCCAACCTGATGGGGGTGAGGGGGGGGTGGGGGAGCCCCAAAATATTTTTGTTTTCTTAAGCAGTTTGTGTACCTCTGCCACTACAAATCTAATCGATATGTTAACACGCACATTTAATTGTAGATTAAGAAAACATTCTGACCACAACGTATCTCCATACTTTCTGTTTCACTTGTTGCCGAACCTAATATCTTTTAAATCCTATTTTATTATGCTGGGGATCTGTGAGGAAAGGGGGGGGGGGGCGCACGTGGTGGTGACCTGAAATAGGCTGGAGATCATCAATGTTCTAGAGGATGTAGGTATGTTTAACGTTCTGTAGTTTTGATTCTCACCTTATGTACACCATTTCCTATACATAACTACTGGCATACAGACAAAATGGAAACACACATACCTGCTCACAAAGAACTAAATCTAAAAAGTGCATATTATCTTTAAAAATGAAAGCTCTGTATTTCTTGTATATCTGAACAGCTAAGTTTAGACTACAATAAATGAGTAGACATGAGTGCAACGTTACATTAACATTATAACATAACAAACAAACAAGAAATAATCCTGCCCACCGGAGACCTCCCTGAACAAATTGTGGATCCTTGATCACACCATGAAGTCTTGAATTTGTGCTCCCAAATACATTATTTTCAATCTGTTAGCATTCCATGAGCGATGAGACTGATATCACCGAACAGAGGTTAAATCCACATTGATGTGGATTTTTCAAAACTGATGCTGGATCCCAGGTTGAGCTAACCTAAAACAAATACCAGGTAATGTCATGGGAGGTAAAGGCAGCTGGTGTGATGTTCATCACACCACCCGTGCCATTGTGTGATACCATAACAAAGAACTCATATTTTTGTTTAACCCAATCTGCTAAATATCTCTACACACTGAACAAGAACCACTGGTAAACACTATTACATTCTTAATGCATTTTTTAAGCAATTTTGTACGTCGTACAACCACAATAAGAACTCTTACAGCTTGACACACTTTATATTGAAAAACTGATGTTGTATAACCTCAAGGAATATCTTAAATACTTGGCACATTTTCTACTAAATGGCAAACAGCCACACACGCAGTAATTGTATCAGACTCCACGAACATGCTTCAGAAAATAGCAATAGGCAGTATGCACTCTTAATGGATAGAAAGCATTCACAAATCGCACTTAACCTCCCTCACCTGGATCTTCACACCTGATTATGCTGGCACAAAGGGTAATGAGCAAGCAGACCAACTGACAAGCAATGCACCAATGCACGTGGGAAGAAGCACGGACAGAGCAGATATCAACAACGATGCAAGGACTGGGCTAGTTGGTAGTGATGAATCTCTTGCACTAACTCGATTTCATGACATGGAAGTAAAGCATGGTGAAGCCAGTTTATGCCACCTCCAAGGCTGCGATAGGAGACACTACAACCAACCTCTCATAGGAACAATTAGCAAAGAACCTTGGAGTGGCTGCTGCATTGGAGGACTGAGTAAGCATGAGAATGCCCAATGTGTGGTGACATCGATAGTGATAATATACTAAACCGACTACTAAAAACTCACACATTAGACATATTTTATACTAAAACAATTATATGTTGAATGACTACTAGAAAAACTTATATACCTGACATATTTTATACTGAACAACTTTATGTTGTATGACCACAATTAAAAACCTCTTCATGCGCACTATCTAGCCCTAGAAGGGTGATGTCTTTTTTTGCTGCTGTTGTTGTTGTTGTTGTTGTTCTTGCCAGGGGAAAGTATTTAACTGAGGTAAAAATACCAAAACTTTGTTGGTAAATAATAAAATTGGGATATACATCAAAAGTTGACAAACCAAAAATTATAATGAGCAAATAAAGTGGTTATTACAAAGACAACAATACAAGGAATGAATTCACAAGTCAGCAAATGGATCCGCTCCTGAATGCTTCTTCGCCTGCGACTCATACCAGGCTTTGGAAATTGTACGTTTCATTTCATCATCACCTTCATCGTACATGGTCTTCAGCAGTTTCGTCAGGCTTGCACCTGGGTCTTCATCTTCATCGAACTTTGGCCTGCGGAGTTTAAACAGTAGCAATTATAAAATAAAGGACCATTTTCTTGCCAGTGGCTAGTCGTCATATGAGGCTAGACTTATTTTTCTAAAAATCAATCAACTCTCTATAGGGTAATGTAAAGGTAAAGGTAAAGTCCGCAGATGTGAACCAGCATCATTGAACACGGTTATAATAAATGCTCTGCCACCAGTACGGACAGCTGATAAGAAACTGTCTGCCTGTGTTGCCGTTTGCACTTAACTCTGTAGCTACAGCAACGTTCCTCCATTTACCCCAGAGTGTCAACTCTGGTACCCATTTCCTAGAGGCTGGGTGAACCCTGGGAACCGCCCGGTTTTGAACACTGACCGTGGCTGCAGCGAGTCGCAGCTGGATTTGAAAGCGAGCCTTTTATCGGCTGTGCTAATGCGGCTCCATAATTGGGTAATGTGATTAACATTATGCTACTGGAGCATAGGTCCTTAACCAATTCACACTAAGCCCTTTAAAAATGTTTTCAAGATGTGTTCCTTGTCATTTGTCCGCTATACAATTCAGGAGCTAACAATTCTATAATGATTATTTGTTTACTGAATGTCTCCATTTCTTCAGTGGCCCCATTTTGGGAAAAAAAAGGGGGCGGGGGGGGAGTTCAACTGCCCCGCTAACAAGCATGTTATAAAAGTGGACTAATTAGAGATATTTCCTTTAAGTCAGAGTGCACCTGCTTCAGAGGCAAGGAACCAACAGTCTGCATACAAATAAGCCAGATCTGTTAATGTGTAGGCAAAACAAGTTTTGGAATGAATGTGTAGAAGACTTGTCATGGATGAGTTTGATTGGTAAAGGTAAAATGCCCTGTTATGCAAATCCTGCATTAGCCATGTGATATTAGACTCACAGTTTTATAGAACAATTGCCACTGGATGCGTATGCTAGCAGCCGTCTTTACTTCCCAAGACATTACCTGACACTCATCAGTTTAAGCTGGGCCAACAACTTTGGAGCCACTGTCGATTACAACAACAACAACAACAACAAAATCTTGATGTGGATTTGAACCTAAGACCATCAGGCCAGCAGTTGATTTTCTAGCCAGTATGCCACCACAGTTCCCAGAGTTGGACCTCACAGTTAACATTTTCTTGCAGGATTAGGTTACCAGTCCCAAAACAACCCTCCTTAGCTGTCCCTTATGTCATGCAAAGCAGAAGACAAAATTACTTTTTTTTAAACTTCCTGATGCGCTCCACTGACAGACAATTTTTTTTTGTTTACAGGTAGCAGGTGCTACCTGTGTTTACCATGTGTGCAGTCTTATTGGTGGGGGGGGGGGGGGGGGGGGGGGGTGAAAAGGGTGTTTGAGGCTGTGGATGTACGGATGCCTGGCTAATGCAGCCCAGGGATTTTTGGACATACTGAACAATTTCCAAATCAGGGCCCAACCTCACAAATGGGTACCTGAAGTGCATCTGGAAAGCAGAAGCTTTCAGCATGCAATGAAATCTCACTTACATGTAATCTGCATCAGCTCAAAAGTTTCGTGTATGATGATGATAGTGCATGATCAAACAGATGTAAGGACTCAGCCCACATGCAAAGTAGCCCCAGAACAGGAACAGTGTGGAACAAGAAATGGATCATCAAGGTCTGCAGAGATGGGTGCGGCAGGAAGCAGCCAGGAAATCTGGCTAACACTCAACACTCAAGGAAAAGTTAAGACAGCCATACAATCAGACTGCTACTGGTAGCACTGGAACTGGAACTTTGTAAATGGCTGCTGAAGATGGGGAAAGATTGCTTACGGGAATGTTCTGAGTGCTGTGATGCCAGTTCTTAACCCACATCAAATTGTTCACATAGTTGTTTATTTACATGCATAGACTCATTTACTCTGGTACACTCTTTTCCACTGGTAAACACAACACTTACATGTCTTTTTTCTCTTTCGCCTTCTTCTCTCGTTCTGTGAGCGTTGCCCATGTCTTCCCTACTTCAGTTTTCTTCAGATACACCACCACATGCTTGGACTTTTTCTGAAAATGACAAAAAAGCCAACCCAGTAAGTGAACGTAGATGCAGATTTGGGTAACCCCATGCCATAAACTAGAGGGTTACAGCTTCACATAAACCAAATCACTGCATTTCTAGGAGAGATGTAAAATGAGATGCATGAGAAAAGCTGCCAACTTAACCATCCGAGATAAAGTTAGAAATGACATATCAAACAGATTGTAGGAACAACACCATGCAGGAAATCAATTGAGAAACAGAAGATTACATGGTTTGGTCATCTAGTAAGAATGCAGCCAGAATAACTTCCAATGCAGGCACTACACATGAAAATATCTTATGTGAAAGCATGAGGTCACCCTAGAAGAACATGGACTGATGACATAAAATAACTTCTACACGACAGGGAATGGCAATGGCTTTTGCTGCCCAACAAGTTATCAGTAGCGCAGTAGGTAGCGCGTCAGTCTCAAAATCACAAATCTCCCGTTAATGGATTGCAAAATGTTCCTCTCAACGATGCTTAGCGGCAGAAGTGGAAATGTTCCTCTCAACGATGCTTAGCGGCAGAAGTGGAAATGTTCCTCTCAACGATGCTTAGCGGCAGAAGTGGAAATGTTCCTCTCAACGATGCTTAGCGGCAGAAGGGGAAATGTTCCTCTCAACGATGCTTAGCGGCAGAAGGGGAAATGTTCCTCTCAACGATGCTTAGCGGCAGAAGTGGAAATGTTCCTCTCAACGATGCTTAGCGGCAGAAGTGGAAATGTTCCTCTCAACGATGCTTAGCGGCAGAAGGGGAAATGTTCCTCTCAACGATGCTTAGTCGGCAGAAGTTGGAAATGTTCCTCTCAACGATGCTTAGCGGCAGAAGGGGAAATGTTCCTCTCAACGATGCTTAGCGGCAGAAGTGGAAATGTTCCTCTCAACGATACTTAGCGGCAGAAGTGGAAATGTTCCTCTCAACGATGCTTAGCGGCAGAAGTGGAAATGTTCCTCTCAACGATGCTTAGCGGCAAAAGTGGAAATGTTCCTCTCAACGATGCTTAGCGGCAGAAGTGGAAATGTTCCTCTCGACGATGCTTAGCGGCAGAAGTGGAAATGTTACTCTCTATGATGCTTAGCGGCAGAAGTGGAAATGTTCCTCTCAACGATGATTAGCGACAAAAGTGGAAATGTTCCTCTCAACGATGCTTAGCGACAAAAGTGGAAATGTTCCTCTCAACGATGCTTAGCGACAAAAGTTGAAATGTTCCTCTTAACAATGCTTAGCGACAAAAGTGAAAATGTTCCTCTCAACGATGCTTAGCGGCAGAAGTGGAAATGTTCCTCTCAACGATGCTCAGCGGCAGAAGTGGAAATATTCCTCTCAACGATGCTTAGCGGCAGAAGTGGAAATATTCCTCTCAACGATGCTTAGCGGCAGAAGTGGAAATATTCCTCTCAACAATGCTTAGCGGCAGAAGTGGAAATAAATGCTGACTGGGACAATGGGGCAGCCCGGCGAATCAGAACAGTCCAGGGTCTAGCATGTTCACTGGCCAGGTGATCAAGTCATTCTTCTTCTTCTCAGCATTCAGCCCTGTAAACTCCAGCGGAAAGTTCTAGGTGTTTGTCTATTTCTGGTCTTTGGTCTTGTTCCAGCATTTGTTTCACATGCACATCTGTTTCACTGATCTGGCTTATTTGTGTGCAGACTGTTGCCTCTCAGGCAGGTGCACCCCAATTTCAAAGGAAACATCTCTAACTATACACTCTGTACAACATGGTTACCACTGAGGCAGTGCATATATTCATGCACCCTAGCATGTTCACTGGCCAGGTGATCAAGTCATTCTTCTTCTTCTCAGCATTCAGCCCTGTAAACTCCAGCGGAAAGTTCTAGGTGTTTGTCTATTTCTGGTCTTTGGTCTTGTTCCAGCATTTGTTTCACATGCACATCTGTTTCACTGATCTGGCTTATTTGTGTGCAGACTGTTGCCTCTCAGGCAGGTCTTTCTACACATCAACCTGGCAGCGCTGTTTTGTTTATATGACTAATAAAGATGTTAATGAACAATATTACTGGGACTCAATTTCAAAACTGTTTTACGTCACCTCAAAAGCTTCCTTCACCCCCCCCCCCCCCCCCCCCATACTGTGGCACAAACTGAAAGCGTCAGGCTTTATGCCTCCTGGGTCAAGAGGGTTAAGGTCACTGGTAACGTTTACAAAGCTGGGTACATACCTTACAGTAAGAATCTTCTGGAACAATGTCTTCACATAGTCGTGCTATCTGCAGTTGGCAAATTTTGTTGGGATAGTGAACCTTCACTGTAACAGATCTGCAATTTAAACAAAATTATCATCAGTATTTTACAAACTAACAAAAAACAAAACAAAACAACAGAAAACAAGTGGGGATTTAACCAGTGCTAAACGACATCAAAAGACAACAGATCAAATGGTTCAGACATGTGTCAAGACAACCACAGAGAGCCCTGTCACTCAGAAACAGCAGCAGCAACAAACCTAGAGGTCAACCACGCAATCGATGAAGTGGCGGAACATCTGAGGTCGTGAATATCAACATCTCAGTCACAAGGCGTCTATGTAACTGCTACAATCAATGCTTACACCTTCCAACGCACAAGCAAAATGCATTATTTTACAATTCCCTTTTACTGGTTATTATTCATTAGAAATAGGCCACTCAGTTTATGTAATGTGCGGGACATCAGGAGTCTCTCTTGGCAGTGGTGAAACGTCACAAGCTAGCTTGGTTTGGGCACGTGGTGAAACATGATTTGATTGTAGAGACTGTACTTCAAGGAACATTAGGGGGTAGTTGAAGAAGAGAAGGACAAAAAAGAAACTAGAATGACAACATCAAGAAATGGACAGGACTAAGTAATCATAAACTTATTCATCAAGCAGAAGACAGAGAAAGATGGCCGGTTTTATGTGCTAGTGCTTCCATCAATACACCTCCACGACTCTAATGGGTCAAGGGTTATGTTGTTATGTACTGAATTTAGCTAAAACAGCGCTTGCTGCATGTTTATGCTTTTCTTGCAGAATCTGTAATGTGTGAAAGCTACCAGTTACCAGTACTGTGATGCTAGCTGCACAAGCATGCTCTTTAATTGCAAAGCGACGATAAGGAGAATATCACATGGTACCCTCTCAGGTATAATTGTTACCTGCTAACGATTACACACGCAAACTGATCATGCCTTGCCACTGTAGCATCTATGTAGCACACACCAAGGCATCCACCAGATGCCTCTTCAAAACCTAGTCTGAAAGGCAAATTAGGTCTTTCACCAGATGCCTCTTCAAAACCTGGTCTGAAAGACAGATTAGATCTAGACAAGAAGAAAAGGTAAGCCGATGTTGTGTCTGTTCTCATACACACAGGGTAGAAATAGGTTAGCAGGAACACACAGAACAGCAGTTTCCATCAGGTCATTACCACATTAGGAAGAAAATGTAGAGACTGATGTAACGGTATGGTAGAATTAGAGGTACAACAACAGATAGATCAAAACGCTGGGCTAGATGATGTGACAGTGTATACCGACGGTTTTGTTTATCGGGGTAAATGTTCTGGCTAGAGTTTTTAGCCAGAGTCAAGGGAAAGATTATGGCAGAACAAATGGTGCTTTTTTCCCCACAGCCACAACTTTAAGCATGAGGATGGAGTTGGATGTAATCACTACAGCTCTGGGGTGATTACTTTTTGCTCCCGTGATTTGCTAACTGTTCATGTCTGGCACTAATAGCACAAAGTGGGGATGAAGATGCTTTTATTGACTTGTTGTTTGGCTGGATAGAAAATATGTGGGTATCTGAGCAGTAGGGCAGAAACAGCCTTCGTCTCCTAAACTCTAGCATCCATCTCTCTATTGAGTTTGCCATCTTCTGTTGTGATAAGATACAAATATTAATTCCTAAACCCCACTTGTTAATCATGTAACCCCAGTTATGTTTAAAAAAAAAAAAATCAGAACCCCGTAGAAAACACCCCTTTACAAAATCCCTTGAAAAAAAAATCATAATTATACTATGTCACTAATTAAGGTTTTTAAATTATTGCTCTAATGAAAAAAATTTGTTGTTAATGTATAAGGAAAAAAAAAAGAAAGTTATGAATAAACTAACAGAGTGAAGCTTCAAACAGAATACATTCTCTCCGCCTAAATTTAAAAAAAACTATATGTAGAGGAAACATCAGAAAAGTGACATTGGGCCCAACCTGCAGTGAGGGTTTTGCAGCTTCCTTGGGAGACAGGGCTAAGAGTCAAAACACCTCACCTGTTTGTGAAGTTAGCTTCAATGTCTCCATCACTGATTTCACTGAGATTGTCCAGGGACAGATAGAGCTCCATATATTGTTTGGTCTGATCAAAACCTGCAATAACAAATGAAGTATCTGGTTAGATTTCGTTGTATCCCTTTCACACCACAAAACCTTTGGAATATTTGTGATCTGCTTATTCTTCTTTGTTCACCCTTAATGAGTTCCGTCCCCTCTTTCTGCCCCAGCAGATGCCTGGTCACCCTCAACGGCTGGTTTGTTCGCCTTCTTGCTCTCCAGGGACAGGACTTCTCTTCTGACTCTGTCTATTTCCTTCAAGAGATGCTCCTGCACCCTGGGTCTCTTTGCAGCTTTGTGCAGTTGCTCATACTCCTCCAGATCTTGTCTGAGCTGTCAATTATAAAACCGAACAGTAATATAAATTTTAGTGTGATCGATTACATTGAGACAAGCCGATGCACCCTATTTTTAAATATGACTTTAAAAAAAGGATGGAATGCATGGCGGACCGAAAACTGACAGGGTCTTATGTCTGAGCTAAGTGGGAACCACTGATGTAATGGGTTATATAAAGTTCAGATAGGATATTATGTGAGGTTTATAGAGGTTAAAAGGTCAGCAGGACAAACATTATGATACAGATTAATGCAAAATGTAGACAGATTAGTTAATAGGGTAATATTCACATGAGTAATTATGTGAAGTTAAGTTGACTAGTAAGAAAGATTTAGTTAATGCTATTATGTGAAGTTAAGCTGATTAATTAGGTGAAGTTAAGTTGACTAGCAAGAAAGATTCAGTTAATGTGATTACGTGAAGTTAGTAGGCTGATTAATCATTTGAAGTTAGGTTGACTAGTAAGAAAGATTAAGGAAATGTGATTTTGTGAAGTTTGGCTGATCAATTATGTAAAGTTCACTAGCAAGAAAGATTTAAATAATGTCACGTTGTACAATTAGCCTGATTAATTATGTGAAGTTACTCTGACTAGTAAGAAAGATACAGCTAATGTGATCAGTGAAGTTCAGAAGCACTGTGGTGAGATTATGATAACTTGGTGCATTATGTAAAGTTCACACTGAAAAGTAACATTAGGGTCAACTGGTGGATTATGTAAAGTTCACACTGAAAAGTAGGATTAGGGTCAATTCATGGATTACGTAAAGTTCACACTGAAAAGTAAGATTAGGGTCAAGTGATTACATAAAGTTCATGCTGAACAGTAAGATTAGGGTCTATCGGGACTTCTAAAGAGCAGAGCACCCTCCTATTTCACCATACAGACATCCTCTTTTTCTGCATTTGTTTGTACATTTCATTTTATTTCAAATATTTTTGAGCATTTATTTGCTATTCAGCGATAATAATAATAATAATAATAATTGCACAATTAAACAAGACAAACCCCTTCAGCCTGGACCCCCCCCCTCCCCCCCCCCCCCCCACAAACAAAATATATGACTAGCTGAGGACAGTGTTCCCCCCCCCCCCCAACCACCCCCACCCACCCCGGCAACCCCAATGATTTATTCAATCCAGCATGTTTATGGTTAACAGTAGCAATTTCAAATGAGAAAGCTGATCAACTGGCAGGGGAAGGTGCGACAAAAGAGCAGCCGGATGTACCAGTCACATACCACCAAAAGAAAAGAATCATTAAATCAATCAGGAAACCACCAGCCCCAGCACAAGACAACTATTTTATAATGGACAGACCAGAACAAGTCATTATCCTCCGCCTCAGAACAGGGCACAACCGATTACGTAACCACATGTACACAAAATTCAAGATAGGTGTATCAGCCATGTGCACCTGTTAAAATGTGCCCCAGACAGCAGAGCATGTACTTCAGGACTGCACCGAATTTGACACATTAAGGCAAACCTTTTGGCCAGAAAGAACAATAGTGGAACGTAAACTCTATGGACCACTGAATGAACTAACAACGACAGTGAAATTTAAACAAGAGACAAAACTGCTGATATAGACAACTTATTTCAGGCGAACGAAAGAAGAAGAAGAAGAACAGTAGCAATCTCATGAAAAGAACGTCCATGTTTTTTCTCTTAGTTCTGAATATCTTCCAAAATCTCTGCTGGATATTCACTACTCTTGTAGCTGCACTGCAAAACCACGGTGCGTGAAGATATTTCAGCTATCCTCCGAAGAACGGGGACTCACGAGCAGCAGCTTCCACATTTCCTGCAGCTTTGCTCATGAGTCCCAGCCATCTAGTTGAGCCCCAATCCACGCCACTCACGTGGTGTGGGGAATACTCTCGGCGGTGGCGGTAGTCACCGGAAGTGCACAATTGACACGTGACTGAGGCCCTGTTTTTGGTCGCCATCTTTTGTGCCTGTTATTCGGAGGATAGCCGATATTTCTGTTGTAAAACTGTGTCTTCGTAAACATAATACCTGCTGAAATTATTTTTTCCTAATAACATTAAACAAAAAACATCAGATTAAAAATGTATTCATTTCTCTTTTTAAAAATAAATACTTTTGTGGGGATTAGAAATATGTTACACTCTCACGTGCCTTTTTTTTTTAACACCACCCCTTCTGCAACTTTTGTAAAGGAAATATATGTGAGATAAGTCTGTCAAAATTCAAAATTCATAGGCCTGAAAGACTTAAGTTTCTTTGCTACAAGAATCAAGACCATCTACAAATGTTCCTCAATAAACTGATTAACCTGTCTGAAAGAAATACACATATATGAACGAATTCAACATGGTTTTAGAAAACGTTAAGACGCTGAGTGATGGAGAGCAAAGAAGAGAACTAGAAAATAAAACCAATTCATAGCAGACGATAGAGACGTAGTCGTAGATCTCTGAAGCAGAAGTACATCAGGAAAATGTGTTATCTTATAAAATGTTTGTTGTTTACAAACCTCAAACAAAGCCGTATCAGACATTGTTGTATGTCGTCGATGCAAACGTCTTGTTTAAATCTAATTCAAAGTGCTGAAACTTGTTTTATACTCGGGATTGTCGTTTGTTTTGTTTCTGACTCCAACTGTAGAGCTTTCCAGAAGATTCCCACAATCCATGTTTTGTAGTTTCGGAGAAACGTTGTATAACAGTTTCGTTTTCTAGTTATTGCAGGAAAAAGTATGGATACTTCCCTGGCTGGAAACCTCTTGTGGTTGTTATGTATATTTGTTGTTTCTACAATGGTATGAGTGTCTAGCCTTTCTGGAATCAATGCCAAACTACTGAACTAATTATGACGTGCCGTCTCCACACACTCATAGATCGCCAACACGCTTGTTTTTGACGTGGTTGCATCTCTTGTTGTTGCCCCCCCCCCCCCCCCCTTTTTTTTTTTTTTTACATGTGACGTTGTCTACTTCTTGCTCTCTTGCCCTTGACATTTCCCTTAAGTATGTATTAGAAGCGTTGTATGTCTTCTAATGTTGCCAAAATATTTCATTTGTAATCTTTTTTTTAAAAATTAATTTAAATATTTCCATAATTATGTTTCCAATGGCAGTCTTTCCACAACCGCTATGGTATTATTTCTGTTTCCACGAAATGCGACATATTCTTATGTATATTTACGTTTCCTGAGACTCAGTTCGATTTTCTAGTTGTCTGTGCTTTGTCTGTTTCTGCACAGTACAGTAGGACTGAATATTCATCACTTGTGACGAGGAGCGTGCGTGGTCTCTCCAGGTCTCGAGTGCTAGAGGTTATGAATGTCAATTTCGTCTCGAGTTTTTTGTCTAGAGGGCTTTTGCCAGGGGCCGCAATATAGGCAGGCCATCCCTGATTTCTAGGGCTGGGATATTTTCACGGTGGCACTTTGTGTCATCGGGTGTTTATCTTAGACTTTTCAGTTCATAAGGTTATTCCCCCTGGTCTCTGGGTAGTGAGATCAGACACTCGTGCGCACGTAAAAAATCTCTTGGCATTTGGAAATCGAACAGAGTAGCCTAACGGTGCTGCCCGGGCAAAATTTGGAGTTGATAATCTACCGAAAGTATTTCGGGATCCTCGCCGGTGCTACAGAGTCTGTGCTGCTTCGGACTCAGATTTGATTTAGAAGAAGACTGAAGCACTTATGTGTACCCCGAAGTTCATCCATAGTTCAAAATTTCAAAAATATGACGATTCTCAATTTAATGTGTTGTTTATCTTTCTTGCGAATTTTTATTGAAGATAGTTTTAGCCATTATTATCTTTTTGATTTTCTGTTTCACTTATGAAATCATCTGTTTTTACCAGTTCGAGATAGGAGAACCTTGTTACTTGTTTTAATATCACTTCTTTTACTGTGATGTTCACTTTTAGTCGCTCTTTTCCATTATTAATTACCATAGCTTTTGTTTTTCAAATAATAATGTCTAAGCCCAATTCTGAACTACGCCTGTTGACTCGATCCTCTAGGTCTTGTAGATCCTGCTCACTTTCTGATAGTGTGTCATCAGCACCTTTATTGTTCTTCCATCAGTATTCAATCCAGAAAGTGTCCCAACTTATCAAAAATTTCTTATGTATATAAACTGAAATTGGGCATACAATTACGTAATAAAATCAGAACAGCCAAAAAAGCATGATTTTCTCTGAGCTTCCTCTAGTGGCCTACAGACATGATAATAAGTTTAAAGACGTTCTAGTCACAAATCGGTTACGTTTCATCCTGGAGTCTCACTAAGGCATGATCTCTTGCCACAGATCTATATGCGAGACTTGTCCGTATGTACTTCCAGTGGATGGTCTGACATTCACCAGTGCCGAGGCATATCAGTTCCGAGGGTCACCGAGTGTCTTCCACATGGCGGTTAAACTGTCAGTTTTAAAAACTGCCATTTCTGCATGTGTTAGCACATTTTCGGTGTAAGGAAGGGGGTTCTTGAGCCTGTGCAGCTAAAGATTTTACTTTTGCCCCCTGCAGAGTAAAATCCATAACCTAACAGAAGATTAGAACCCGGCTCTTCCACGTGAAAGCCCTGCTTTTTTAACCGTTCAACGAACCGCTTCAAACATGGAGGTTACGACCATCAAGTCTAGCCACTCAGATAACAGTCCATAAGTTGAATGAGAGTTGCCTTGTCTATCCAGTAGGCTGCACTCCCCAAATGAACTTCCAACACAGCTTTATCTAATTGTTTGAAGTTACGACCCTTTTTGCCACACCTCTTTGTGTGGTATGGTGTGTGTGTGTGTGTGACAGAGAGAGAGAGAGAGAGAGAGAGAGAGAGAGAGAGAGAGAGAGAGAGAGAGAGAGAGAGAGAGAGAGAGAGACTAATATTCATTTCATATATTCACACATGTCTCAGAGCATTAACTGGCCAGATAGATATTTAGATTTGTGTGTGTGTGTGTATGTATGTGTGTGTGTATCAGTTAAATGAAATTGTGTGTGTGCGTGTGTTTTTCGTTTTGGTCACTTAAACATTGTCTATTGGTCATATGATGATGAAGTTTTCTAGCCGCAAAGTTCATGTGTCGTTTAGGTTTGTTATAATGTTAAGCTCACTAGTTATAGTTCTCATTTGGTTTGATATCTTTTCTTATTTTTGTTTTTGAGGAGAAAAGAAGAAAATGTGTCCGGTTGTTAGTCAACAGGTATCTATTCCACACTCCGACGGTCTGCAGGCTGAGATTCTTTCTAGATCGCAGAGTCAGTCCTGTTGTAGCCACTGACCCTTTGATACGTCTGACTGTCTTAGTGCTCACTCTGAACTCTTTGGAGTTTAATAGCCACTACTTCCACCAGATCAGTAGCGTCACCATGGACACCAAGATGAGACCCAACTATGCATAGCTCTTCATGGGCTCTCTTGATCATCAGATACGTCATGCATACACTGGTAGGTTCCTAGAGCTCTACATGAGGTATATCGATAACTTCATCGGTGTCTCCGACATGCCCTTGTCGGAACTTCAGAGCTTCGATTATTTTTTTTTGTTCTCTAGCTTCCATCCCAGCATCGGAGTCAACTCCAGCATTTCGTTGTCATCTGTATATTATCTGGATCTCACTGTCACCCTGGATTCTTAAGGCTTAGCACATTGGTGTACTATAAACCTACAGATTTCCATGCTTTTCTTATGTACACAATCTTTCATTGGTCTTCCTACAATGACTCCACTCCTTTTTCCACGCCTCGGTGCATCCCTAAACCTTTTCAGAACAATGTCGACTTCCACCATAGGGACATGAAAATGCTGGATTTTTTCTGGTTTCGAGATTACCCTATCTTTTCTGCTGTCTTTCACCGATCATGGTCTTTCAGTCGTGCTGATAGTCTCTAGTCTTCACCCTGCGAGTGTCATCGCGACACTATTTTCTGAGCAGTATATTTATGTAGTATAAAGGATAGTATGAAAGTACTGGAGAGTTTTGAGAAATGCCCTTCAGGTCTCAAGACTGAGTGAAGGGAAAACCCCAGCTGCACCCCCAAAAGGTACAGAATGGTAAACACACTGCGGTGTGGCCCACGCAGCTATGGGGTCCAAGTATCCGCGGGGATAAGTGGACACTTTTGGGTTGCCCTCTGCTGTTAGCAGGAGCATCACAGAGCAGGGCACTCACTTGCCCTAGCAAGCGAAAAGGTTGCTGAAGGCTGAGGATGTAGTCTAAAGCCATGTAGATGTGGAAAGCAAGGGGAAACTACCACATTACTATCCCAAGTAACTTATCATGGAAGCCAAAATCTGAACACCAAGGAAGATTGGCCAATAAACAGCACCCTGTCTCAGAAGCTGAAATATTTTGGACATAAAAAGCGCTACTATGGATTGGAAAAAATAATAGCAGAAGACAGGGTACCAAGAAGGAGGGGCAGGCCGACCAACACCAAGATGGGCACAGAATATAAGTGGCTACTTGAGTATGAAAGTCCTAATAACAACATTTACAGCAACGACAACAACAACAACATTTTCTCGGTTGTCCTCACTCTTCACTTCCCTGCAATCATCTCCACAATGCCCCATATTCCCCTGCTGATTTCTTGTCCCCCCCCCCCCCCCCTTTTTATCTATTTCCTTAGTTCAGAGCTATTCAACTAGCGGCCCGCGGATCATTGCTAGCTGTGTTGTATTATAGTTATTTCTTTGAGACTTCTGGCTTATAACAATCCCCATTTTCAGAATGTTGACCCACGAGTAAACTTGGGGAGCCACCGTGGTTTCGCGGATAGACGCTAGCCTACGGATCGGAAGGTCGTGGGTTCGATCCCTGATGGAAACCGGAATTTTTTTTTTAATGATCTTGGCTCCCAGGTCGACCCAGCCTAGAATGAGTACCAGATACATTTCTGGGAAGTAAAGGTGACCGTTGTGATGCTGGCCATATCACCCACCAAGTGCCGTTTGGTCTAAAAACACAGGTCTAGCCCTATATACTCAGTACGCCTCAAAGGCGTGGAAAGGGGTCCTTTACTGACTCAACTATGTGAGTAAACAATTGAATTGCCCTGCTTTAGGGGTTCTGTGGGGGAAAGAATTGACTCACTGCATCCCTAACAAGCATGTCGTAAGAGTCGACAAACTGGGTGCTTCCATCGAAGCCTGAGTACAGCTGCATGAGAGGCAAGGAGCCGACAGTTTGCATGCATTGCTACACGATCAGCTTCATGGAGTGGCATAAAATCTTAAACCTGCAGAAACCGACATCACAAACTGTCGGAATATAAAAGCATTCACTGTGTTAACGTATATGTTTAATACAATATTCATTACGATGTATTTATAATTTTATATAACACATTCGTAATATTTTTTTTAAGTCTAGACACAAGTGTAAACAATAAAACAATTTTATTCAAAAATCATTTTAAAGGTAGAATCACATGACTTGAACATTATTTCAGAATTATATTCGCGGTACTTTCAAAATGAGGAGCGGAACTGGCGAAATTGCATGAAAGCAAATGAGCATACTGAAAGTTAGTTGCGTATCTGGGGTTGGGGGGGCGAGGGGTAAGGTTTTATGTTTATGAGAACCACCATTTGGAGTCTTTCAGTCGCTTAAATTTCTGCCCAAAGGGGTAGAGTAGAATTTTTTTTTTTTTAAATAGTAAGTGCTGACATTTAAGGG